ATTTTTAACCAGAAGGCATACAGTTTGACTACATAGTAGCCATTATGTCGGGATTTTTGAGTTGTGACAAGTACCATATATTAAAATATATACATTTTTCTTATTAACAATTTAAAAAGTCAGTCATAAAATCAGTATGTAGAAAAATAACCCAGCTTCGTATACTTCTACCAACGTCAGATCATCTTTGTATCTATACAGAATTCCAAAGTCCACGGTATATATTACACGCTGTCCAACCCTATAAGTATAGGTGTCCAAGATGAGAGCTAGACGTGGTACTGCATCACAGCCGAAAACAATTAGTAGAGGTCTCTCACTTCCACTAATTGTTTTCGGCTGTGATGAGGAGAGTACTGGTTTATTCTGGTTAAAAGGCACCTGTAGTCTAAAAGGAAAAAAAAAATGCATAGTCCCAAGGGTAGCCTAAGAGCAAAGCTATAATGCAAACTGTACAAATAAAATTTACACCGTAAGAGACCATCTCTGAGAAAATCATGTACCCTCTCTAACCCATCCTGTATGGTGTTTTTTTTTATGAAGCAAGATATACTCGCCTATGTCCACTCTCCAGGTCCCTGCCTACACAATTTTCAATTGCGGGAACTGCTGATCCAGCTCTGCAAATGGTGTCTGCAGTCCCCTACTGGATCCCGACAGGACCCCACCCCTGGACAGCATGTAGGAAGTATCCATGTCACACAGGCAGTGATGTGGACACCTGAAGAAGAACCTAGAGGAGAAGAAGGTTAGGGTAGATGTTGTCCAAGAGATGGTTACATTATTAAGGTGTGTTGCCAAGGCTGTGAGAATGAATCTTTGTAGTTTGCTGCCCAGCCAATCCAGTTGTTGTTCATTGTGCACCATCTGTTGTTCATGTCACGGCTGTCAAACTAATTGATAATGAAAATCATTGACAACTATTTTTATTATGGATTATTATCGACTTAGTTGTTGCAGCCCTACTTTACAGTTTTTTTTTTTTCTTACACAGAGCATACTAGGCCCTAGGTTCATTTTTTTGGTCTGAGTAATGTATATCTATTTAAAGTACTTTTTATTCCTGCATTTTTCTAAAATCCAGCTGTCTCTGTGTTTTTTATATGCACGGTGCCCCTTTTTATAATACATGTAATGCAGGGCAATAATGCTCATAATTACTTCTTAAAACGAGAAAGTAACTTGGTGCTTACACTTGTAACGAATGCTTCTCCAACACAGACACTTGTGTCACTGCTTTCTTTGTCTGGGGGCCAGCTGGACTCGGCACATTTGTCACCACCTGTCATCCTCTGTGTAGTCTGCTTGTCCATGGTCTCTTTATTCAGTAAGCTAAAGTACAGTAACCCCTACCAGCCGATCAGTGAATATGACTGTAGATTTCACAAATATGATTGGTTTCCACAGAAGGCGACACTTTGCTGTTTTTTTGTTTTCTATGTTACATACTTCTGCAAATGTTTTGCAATTTTTGGTTTCCTAGACCACAATATATGACCATACCATGCATGCTACAACACTACTGCCCTTATGGTATAGTTTTATTGCTAATTTAGTTGCACATAGCATGGTTCTAGTGTTGTTGCTTCAGGTTCCTTCACATTTGCTTGCATTGTGCTTGACAAAGACAGGTTGGCAATGAGCTGTGGCTGAATTGGAGACTCTTAAGGACCATACATCCTGTACCCACAGGGAGCTTAAAGTGATATTAAAGCCAACAAATGTTTTTCATTTCTCCTTTCTTGCTGGAGGCTGTTGTTTTAAAGTACTTCTTTCCTCGTTTTCTAGTGTGTCCCCGCCATGCTCTTCCACCTGCACGGGTGCCACCATTGTTCTAATGGAGGCACCCGTGCGCACTCGTCCCCGCTCTTCCCTGCAGTGGCTGTGTGCGTCCATAGACACACACATCCCTGTGGCAGGCCACGCCCCTTCCTTCGCTGATTGATGGCAGAGGAGCCTAAGGCTCCTCTGCCATCAGTATCCTCCCCTGCAACCCAGGAATTCGGGGTACAGAGGATCGCTTCGGGACCGGCGGCGGGGACAAGCGCAGCTGAGAGGTAAGTGTGGGGGGACTGGGGTTAAAAAAAAAAGGTCCTGGGCTGTTTTTACCGTAATGCAGAGAATGCATTAAGGTAAACGCCCAGACCTTAATACTACTTTAAAGTGTATTTCCACTTTTGTACCAAAATTGGGCTAACACGTTTTATATTTGCTACATGTTTCTCATTCACATCGTATAAATGTAAAAAAAAAATGTAAAATGCTGTTTGTGCAATACATGCTCTATTCTGGAAGAAAAATCCTTCTCTGTACTGAGTTTTTTTTTTGCTCTGGGATGCAAGAGGGGCTGGGCAGGTTAATGCTAACATAATTAACCCTGTCTGTACTGTGCTGGAAGATCTAATGTTCAGTAGTAAACTAGATGTGAACACTGTCCTGTTAAGGGGTTAAAGATCTAGAAGCATTATTTTGTTCATAAGGGGAAACTCAGTCTGTCCCTAGTCTTTCTACAGCAGCGGCTCTCAACCTGTGGGTCGGGACCCCTTCAGGGGTCGAATGACAATTTGCCAGGGGTCGCCGGGAGTCTCCCACTATTAGATAGCTATTAGATTATCATTATTATAATAAAAGCTGACACCCTCGGCTTGTGTTTATATGGTTTGCCATTTTAGCTGTTACAACAGTGGTTCTCAAGCTGTGGGGTCGCTGTGTGATTTCTGCTGTGCTCGGTGAGAGTCCTCCTCAGCCCTCTCCTAGCGCAGCAGTGTCCGTTCTCCCGCCACGCCGCCAGATGTTGCAGCAGCCGCTTCAACCCTAAATTTTACTGTTGTGGGTCACCACAACTTGGCAAATGTTACCAAGGGGTCCCGGCCCTAGGAAGGTTGAGAACCACTGTTCTACAGGGACTTGCTGAGTTTCCTGTCACTTGGAAATTGAAAGCAAAACTTTAAAAGGCCATCTACACAAACACATCTAAAAGGTAAATCATTTTTCAAAAATAAATGTTTCGTTATGCTGTGTGAATAGGAGCACATAACAAACATGTTCCTCAAATTTGTGTGCAAAAAGGAAATCCTACTTTACACCACTGTAGAAAAAAAAAAAGGACTGAATGAAACATTTATTTTAATGTTTCCTCTGTATACTGGAGATATGTTCGTTCACTATGCATCCTTGTCTGATAACTGCGCTTTCCTCAGAACAGTACAATGCGACATACGCAGCTAAATGTGCCATGTCATGTACATGTTGCCTTCATTACTTGGACAGCATTAAAAAAAAAACAAAGGTACTTTTTTAAAAAAATGTATGTGCTTTACACACTGTATAATAAAGATCGATAGATGGATGGATAGAGGGAGCAGAGGTTTCCTGGTTTTATTTTATTGTAAAGGGCATTTTTTTTTTTTTGGAGTGCCATTTTTTTTCTTCCACTTGTTAAGTTTGAGGGTTTGTTTACAACATCTCCAGACCAGAACAGTTCTATCTGGACCAAAAAATGTATACACATTAATTAAATTCCAATGTTAAAAAGGAGGCTAGTTCACACCATTGCGTTCAGTTCCACAGCTTCTTTTTTTTTTTTTTTAAACAAAAACGTCCAGCATGCTGCATTTTTTTTTCTGGCCTGGAACAATCCAAAATGCACCAGAATGCACAGGAACTGCTATCAACATTTTAACAATCTGCGATAAGGACTTATTCACAGCATTGCCAGACCAGATCTGGATGCGTTTCTGTAAACTCGGGTATGTGCGTTTAACGTCTTTTTGATGTGTTGCTGTACCAGTTTTTTATCTCATTTGGACTTCTAGTGCATTCTGGATTCTTTCGATGCATTCCAGTGCTTTCCAGACAAAAAAAATAAATAGTGCTTGCAGTACTTTAAATGTTGTGGAACTGAATGCAGTGCAAAAAAACTTTCTGATCTGGTCTGAGGGCTCGGTCACACCATAAATAGTGCGTTCCAGAGCATTCAGCCACTGGAACGCAACCCGGCTGGCTCACTTTGTTTTGGGACAGGAGGGGGGAAGTGCGATCTGCAAAAAGTAGTGCATGCAGCATTTTTTTGTTGATCTCACTGGACCGGAACGCAGGCATTAATGTGCCACGTGTATGTACAGGTGCTGTCGATCGCACTGCGGGCAGGGGGCGTGGGTGTGGAACCATTTACATCAATGCACCACCACGCCCCCTCTCGTTCCAAAACAAAGTGAGCCGGCTGGGTTGCGTTCCAGAGGCCAACTGCTCTGGAAGGCCCTCTTTATGGTGTGACTGGGCCCTCATCGTGTTGTGAATGGGCCCTAAGACTGGGGGCTTGTTCACACCACGTCCGGATCATGTCCAGACCAGAACAGTTTGTTCCCGGAATGAAAAAAGCATCCCTATGGTATTTCTGGCCTCAGCGCAGTCCATTCCAGTCCGGACAAAAAAAATAAATACTGCTCATCTAATTTTCTCTGGTCTGGAAGGCATCAAAAACACCTAAATGCACACAAACACATGCAAATGCACTGAACTGCACCTGTAAGCCCATTTTAGGCAAACCCGGCAAAGCGAACTGCTTTTGCAGATCTGGTCCAGGCATGGTGTGAACATAGCCTGGAAGATGAGACTGGTTCCATTCAGAAGGATAGAACCTAGATAATCCTCTCTGTTACCAATGAACTAATAAGTGAGCGGTTCTTGACATCTGCGGTCATGATGTTGCAGTAAGTAGACACCTGGAAACAGAGCATCTTGTAAGCCAGCAATGTTTTCCTCAGTACAAGTGGGCTCCTACAGAATCTCAGCCTTCCATGTTCAGGCTCGTAGCTCGCCAAAGCACTTGGGCACTTCAGGAACCTGGGTACTTACTATGAGAAAAAAACCTGTCCTGCAGGTGCCCGACAACATTTCCCTGTTAAAAGGAATATGGAATGGACACATTGGATGTTAAAGAATCTCGGATTGTGGTGTTATGCATACAATAATGTCTTCTATGTTTACTTTTATGATAGATGTGATGCAGATCCTTCAGCTCTAGCTAACTATGTTATCGCCTTGGTCAAGAAAGACAAGTCGAATGAGGAGCTCAAGGCTATTTGTGCCGACCAGTTGGATGTTTTCCTACAAAAAGGTAAAGATCTGCTTTTTTTTTTTTTTCCCCTTGTAGTTGTTAAGTGGAATTTAAATTACTATTAACCCCTTCGTGACTGACGACGTACAGTGTATGTCGCCAGCATCGGGGCTGTTTAAACAGACTCCCGGCAACTTTTGCCGCCGGGACTCTGTTTAAACTTGTAGAGCCGACTGTCGGCTTTACAACAGAAGCGATCCTGGCGACTTACCTGTCGCCAGATCGCTTCTGCGTCCCGTAGAAGGAGCCGCCCTTCCCCCACCGGACACCCCCGCCGTGCTTCCCGGGCTCCGTTGCCCCTCCTACAGGCCCGGGACCGGCAATCTTTGTGTCCGCGGGGAGCTGGGGAGGAGGTCGACGAACTTCCGTTCATCGATCCCCTCCCCGTTCTATGGGACCGGTAGCGATGCAGATTGCATCACTTCCGGTCCCTGGGCTGTCAGTTCTGGGCTCCTGCAGCAAATACTTTTTTCAGTAATGAATCCATGATAAAATAAATATACTTAGTCCAGCAAAGCATTTTTACATTTCTGCCCAAACGCATACAGTCATCATGTTTTTGAATAGCTGGGTCCAACTCTCTCAGCTTTGTGTCCCTGAACTTCCTGTACAAGGGACAGAACAGTTCACTGAAGCTGTCCATCTATTAGCTTGGAGGCGGTAGGAAGGAGGAGCAGTGCAGTGCTTTGCCTTACTGTGCCTGTGTGTTTGTGGAAACGCACCGATTACTAGAACACCCAATGGTGGCTCCATAGAAGGAAGGATGCACGCTAATATTGGATATCAGGGCCAGTGCTGAGAGGACAAGCTGATTCTTTAGGAAACTACATTTTTTAAACGCCAAGAAGCAGCATCCATTGTATGTGATTTAATCAGCATTCAAAATTGCTTTAAAACACTTTGCCTTTAATATCACTTTAAAGATGAACACCGGGCAAAAATATTCTTAACCCTTGCAGTGGGGCTACCCCTGCACTGCAAGGGTTAAAGGAGAACTATGGGAACCAACTTTTTTGCATTTTTAGTTGTCTTATGATACAGGAATACATTTTGCAGTATATTACACTAAATTGTAAGCCTATGGTGCATTTTGGATTACAGGAGTACATTGCAAAATGTATTTCTGTATCACAAGGAATCTAAAAATGCAAAAAAAGTGTACCCCCATAGTTCTTCTTTAACCACTTCCAGCGGGTTCACGTAAATGTACGTCGTCCGCTGGAAGTGGTTATACCAAGAACACGGCTGCTGCACCCGTGTTCTTGGTACCGTTTTAAACGGCAGACGATTGCTGTTTAAATACAAGCGACCCGGCATCTGTACAGGCGCCAGATCGCTTGTGCGTCGTCGTGTGTCCCCTCCTCGTCAGCTTCTTGGGCTCCGCTGTTCCCTGTGCGAGCCTGGGACCGGTGTGGTTGGTCTCCCCTGGTGGATCGGAGGAGAGAATCTCCTCCATTCACAAATATGTGAACGGATGTATTGTTTCATAATCAGGGCTTGAAGAATTTGGCGGTGTCTCACCAGTCAGTCAAAAATTTCACCAGTCAGCATGACCGGACTATAGCCTTGCAATATATGTTAAAAATTTTTGGGGACAGATAGAGCTTTGTTTTGTGACCCCACGAAAGGCGGCCATACACTATGCAAATTTCAGCCAGTTCTTGAGGAATAGGCCAAAATTCACACAGTCAGCACCCCTTTTGGCTGACATCCCTTAATCAGCTGATCGAAGGAGCCAGTCGGAAAATCTTACAAACGGAGCGGGCAGCTAATGAGCTCTGTTAGGGTATTCTGACAGTGGCTGGCGGCTGCTGTCAGAATACAAAAGAAACAGCGGGATTCCTTGATCGACACACTCGTAGTGTTGATGGAAGAATGTGATCTTTTTTTTTTTTTTTCCCGTTCAGCCCGTGGAATGAACTTAACAAATAGAGCAGTGTATGGCCAACCTAAAAGCAGGGCAGAGCATGTAAGAGCTGGTATTCCTCATTTCATTCTTGTTATAAAGATGGTTTTCTCCTATCCCCAATTAGGGTTTTTTTTTTTTTTTGTGGCTTTAACAATGTTAATAAATCGCTGACCCAATACATCTCATACATGAGCAGGAAGCGCAAAACTTTTAGCACTGTGTACAAGACATACTGCGAGAGAGTTCAGTACGTTAATTAACAACGTTTTATTTTTCAGAAACAAATGAGTTTGTGGATAAACTCTTTGAAAGCCTGCACACAAGAAGTTATCTTCCTCTTGAGGAATCTCTAAAAGAGGAAGAAAAGGAGGAAACCTCTGAGAATCGTCACATGGCTCTGCCAGGGACTATGCAGGTGAGGGTTTTCTTGGTATAAAATCTTATCCATTAGTGTTAAATACAGCATTCTAGACTGCCTCTCTTATATGGGATTAAGTGTTAAGATCAGTGAGGTCTGCTTTATAGGTTTATAGCCCAGATATAAATAGAATGAGCCAGCGCACCCAAGTGCTTTGCATAAATAGACTGTATCAACAATAATTGTAACCTTTTTTCTGATGTAAAGATGCTGACACAAAAAACATCTGATACAATGGTAAGAGATGTAACAATTAAAGCATACCGGTGTTCTATCGAGGTGGTGAACTCGTCGAGATCTCAGACTCATGACATTGCGTCCGTTGTAGATTTCGACGAGATGGCGCTACTGCACCTGCTCCAGCCATCAGTTTTAGCAATCCTTGATGACTTCTTCAGTCGCCATAGGTGCGCCTGTGCGGCATAAAAATTGTGATCGAGTTCTCCAACTCCCGTCGGTGCTTGTGGCATCGGGTGCTCACACAGGCACACTGCCGCAGATTGTAGAGCTTGATCCTTCACTTGGGTTGCTGCACAGGCGCACTGACGGGAGTTGGAGGTCTCGACGAGTTAGAGAATTCGATAGGACACCGGCATACAATTACAAAAGCAGCTCAGTCAGAGAGAGGCCCCAAAAGCCATTGTTTCTGGTAATAAACCCATTCCTCAAGGTTGAACTACATGTGCGCTCTCCACTAGTCTTTTTAAAATGGCAACCTATAGCCTACATACATAGATTGGTTTATAAAGAGTGCTCTTTTAGCTGTTTTTACTGAAGATTTATTGATTATGAAAAAATATGAATTTCTATAAAGTAACCAAGGGTTATACTGCTGGAGAAATGGACACTAGGCACACAGAAACTGAAGTCCAGCCCCCTAAAAGACTATAACCTTTCACTCCTGCCTAGTTATGCTTGGTGTTCTCGGGAGGATAGATGTCTCCTTCCTCTCTGCTGTATTTTTCACTTGAATTGAAAGATTTCTACTCTCAATAACTACTGGTGGGTTTATTCTAGATATTGAATATGTGGCAAGTTTCTCCAGTTATCCAGCCAGCAAAGAATTTTCCGGTTAGTATGCTGGTGTTCTGTCTGTGACAGTCCTATGGTCAGCAGTGACATCCTGTCTGTGTTGCAGTGGTACAAGACTCTGCTTTACAGCCCCGGCAAGTTATCTGGGCACTCCTTGTAGAGTGTTTGGACCTGAGCTACGGCAGTTCACCTAAGCCAGTATCGGAGACTTTGCAAATGTGTGCGGTTGTCTATTCCTGGCATTCTCTAGGAATTTTCTACAGTCAACCAAGAAGTGCAGATATTCCCAGTTAGTTTAGTATACTGTAGAAATCATACTGATGCTACATGTGATTTTTGCAGAAACAGCGATACCAGACTGGCCATTTGTAAGGGATTAAAGTTCTCTATTTACGACTGACTTGCCTTATACTTCATGTAACTAGCAACCTGACCACATAGGGGCATACCACCTTGTTTCTATCTTGGGCTGTACTTTCTCTGATGCTGTTGGCCAGGTGTTGTTAAAGGCCTATCTGCCTTTTTAACTTTCCCGCATCTTCCAGACCCACAGCGTTTCCACCCCAATCAAGATATTGTGTCCCCTTACCTTTGTCCAGCTCTGGTTCACCCCAAAAAGATTGCTCTCTTATGTCTGGATGGGGTGAAGGCCAATGGGGTTTACCTCTTGGCCAGAGCTGCTTTTAGGCAGATGGAATCCCTGTTTTGTTATTCCAGAAGGTCCTAAAAGAGATTCTCCAGCTTCCAGGTCCACTATTTTTAAGTGAATTCGATTGGTTGCAGGGGTGTGGAAATTATTTTTTCTTAAATACTTGTCTAAGGACTAAAGCAGGAGCCCCGATATACTTGCCCCTCATGACAATCTACTAATCTAAATTATTTTACCCAAAACTGTATTTAACCGCGTTAAGCGCTTCTCATTGGACCGCACTGACCAACCAGTGCTTGCAGTTTGCAAAGGAAATTCCAAATCCATAGGGCAGGGCTGTGCTGGCCAGCAGTATATGGAGTACAGACAGTGCACCCGTACTAGCAGCGGGGAAGGACCGTTCACCAAACTGTAAGTATAGTGGAGGGGGCTAGTGGGTCAGATTTTTGAGTAGATTAATTCCATTTTTCGAATTACTTAGGCAGCACTCGTGTGTTTATTCACATACAAATGGCGGAGTTGGTTTTAATTTAGTAATTTTTTTTTTTAACTTAACTTTATCGCTATCACACATGGGGCTAACAAGCCCCTATGTGATAGCGTTTGGGGGGTGACGGGTTCTCTTTTGTGGAGTCTGCCCTCCAATACAGAAGATCTAGCACAGCATTGTGCTAGATCTTCTGTACAGCCCAACAGCTGAGGCAGGAAGTGCTGTGAGTACAGCACTCCTGTCTCACTAATCACTTATAGCATACGTTCACTGGTCCGCTGCCAGCTCTCCATCCTGAAATCAATGTCGTGGTCCCGGGTCCACAGCAGGGGAAGAGGGACAGACAAGCAGGCTGCTATACAAGTCTGTACAGTCGCCCAGATCACATGTGCAAAATGAGCGGCAGCTTCCGTGCTCTACATTTAGCCCTGCTTGCCCGCAGCAAGGCTAAATATAGGAAAAACAAACAAAACACCTGTCCGGCCACTGGAACTGCATGTCCCAGGCATGTCGGGCGATGGGAATTTCGCACCCCTGGGTTGTTGCAGGTTTGTCTCATGGCTCCTGCTGTGCATTCTCCCAAGACTCCGTGGGATCTGAATTTGTTTGTATTGGCACTTCAAAAAAATGACCTATGAACTGGTCAGGGATATTCTCCTTTCCACTCGCACTTGGTGCGTCTGAGTTGGCGTGCCTTGTCCTGTAAAGAAACCTTTTCTGGTCTAACAAACGGACAAGTGTTATTGAGGCTGAAGCCTCTTTCCTTCCTAAGGTGGCTTTGGCCTTTCACCTCAACCAGGAAATTGTTATTCTATCACACTGACTCCAGTTCAACAGAAGTTCCCTCCATTACTTTGGAATTACCCACACTGTCCTGCACCCCTTGCCTTAGAGGGGGGGGATTTGCATATTAATGAGCCATGATGTGATTTACATATGAATGAACTACCTCTGCATTCATATGCAAATCACTTAGTGGCTCATTAATATGCAACTCCTGCAATTTCCATATGAATATGCAGTGGGTAGTGCTAATGGCTCCTACGGCTGGGCGGATGTCAGGAGAATAGAGCCTGCTGTCTGAACAACAGAAACAAGCATTCTGGCAGTGCCCATCAGCAGCGGAGAACAAGCTCCCCCTTTCACCCCAGCAGTCTTGGTGCAGAGGGAAAAAAAAAATAATGCATTTTAAAATACTTACCACTCCCCCTCTACTTTGGTGCAGCCCGCCAATGCTGCAGCAGCTCCACCTCCTGAAGAGAAAAAAAAAACCTTCCTGTCGCACACAGGAAGGTACCAAGTAGCTGTTTCTGTATAGGGGGGCTGGGCCATACCAAGGAGTTATGTTTATTACACTGTAGAGCAAAAACTTTATATATATATATATATTAATCTCACACACACCAAAAAAGGTAGTGGGTTTTTTGAAGGCACTAAACCACACAATTGTAAAATTCAGCATTTTATTGTTTTTACAAAATATAAAAGGCATTAAAAGATTGTAGAAACATCTGCATCTGAAAATACATGATTCACAGTGTTTGTTTTTATAATTTATATGGCGTGGTAAGTAACCTCCCAGGTCTCCCCCATTGTTCAGGAGAAAAGCTTGATATATCACAGATTAAGTGGATTGTCATGAACACTTAAACATTATGATTCCTCCAAGGGGGGTGACCCAGATCTTTAACGCATTTCGCTATGCTTTTTCAGCAAGGGAAGGAGGTTCTCTGATTTTTAGACACATAAACCAGAAGAGCCATACATTTGGACAACACTGGACGCAAGCACCATCACCGTAGCTCAAATGGGACAAGTGGAAGGTAGGGCCCCCAACCAACAAAAAGATTGGACAAAAGCCTGAAAGGTATTGTCATGGGGAATAGCGCAAGGTTAGATTTAAACTGACTAGAGAGACGGGCCCTCCAAACTGGATTTGTGTCTACAATCACTCTCCATATCTCCTTGCAATAGCATCACCGCCTTCACAACATCGCCCACCGCAGCAGACCGACTGCATCCAGATCATTTTGATAGCATTTATCAACTCTTTGTTCTATCATTGTAATGTTTCTGATTTGATATTGTTGTCAGGACTGTTTGGAAGAAGAGCGGGAAAACAGAAAAAGGAAGCACCCAAGTCCTCCGCGAAATCGTTCTGATTCCAGTGAAAGACGGTGAGAATGTTTCTTCTGTCATGTACTTTGGTTATTGTATGGCGGAGTGTTTGATCTCCCAATATGTATGTTCGCTAACAAATCTTGATGCTCAATTATTGCTTTACCATTTTTTATTGGTTTTGTGTGATGCTTAAAGTGGTTGTATAGGTTAAACTTTGTCAACATGTTAACATGTCACCCTAAGGCCTTGTTCACACCAAGCGCGTTCCAAGAGCAGAGCAGTTACAGAACGGATCAAAACTGCGTCCAATGTATTCCAATAGTATTTTGGGCTCTAGTTCACACCGCAGCGTTCAGTTCCAGAGCATGTAAAAAAAACTGCAGCAAGCCCTATCTTACCTGCTCTGGAACGCATGCAAACGCATCAAAAACGCATGCAAACGACCTAGTATGCACAAAGCCCACTCTAAAAACATTTTTTTACCAAAAACGGCCCGGAGCGCATAACAAACGTGGCACAACCCACTGCACTGCGTGTGCAGAAACTCATGCAGATCTGGTCTGCATTTGGTGTGAACAAGCCTTTATAGTATAACTTCTGTTGCCCTGTTTACAATCTCAAAAATTACTAATTTTGTATTTGTAGGTGTGGTCATGTGACTGCGAATCAGCCTTGTACTCTAATTCTGTGTGGTGGGTGGTAGTGAAAGTAAACATAGTGCTGGAAGGGAGTTCCTGGGGATTGGAGCAATTTTGCCACTTTTGCTATGTGTTTTTAACCATCATTTCCATTCTGATTCCTATTCTGAGGAAACACTGTAGTCTCATCAGAGATTCTTTGTATCACTTTTGTAACACACTGACCCGGCTTGCAGCTTCACTACTCAGTGAGCTGCAAAGCGGCTCAGTGGCTATAACAGCACTGTGATCACTGCGATTTAGCTATCGCTGTGATCACAGAGCTGGGCCCCCCTAATTTGCCTTTGAGGGTCTCCTTGCGTTCCAAGGGACCCAGCAACAGCATTAATTCAATGAGCGCTGGTTGCCCTACAGACCAGCGCTTATTTTACTGCATGATGAGATTATGCCTCCACCGGTCTTTAACCAGTTGACATCCGCGGTGTTAAACCCCCTTCCCATCCAGGCCATTTTTCAGTATTCAGCGCTGCGGTACTTTAACTGACATGAAAGATCGTGACGGAATAATCCTGTCATCGGCCGGAAGGGGTTAAAGGCCAAGGACTACAGTTTCCAGGGCATCAGAAGAAATGTCGGCTACTGGCACTAGGTAATGCTTAGTTAGGGTGGAGCCTGCCGACGGTAATAATGATGTAACCCGTCACTCCCGTTTCCCAACAGCTTTTTCAAATAGAGATGCATGCGCAAAGAGGGAAATCTTCCAGATTCTGACTGAGGTAGGGGGGGATTAGGGGGAGGCCTTTCCTCAGGCCTCCCCTGCATGTTTATGGCCTCCCTCAATGTCTGAACTAAGTATCTAGATTTTCCTATGCATGGCAACAACAGAATATGCCCCATTGTGGAGGCCTGAGGTCAGGTTTTATAATCTCTGGAACCGGATTGTCCCTAATAGGAGTTCATATGGGAGTAATTATAGAATAACCTGGCACCATATAGTGATTGATACCCTCATGATGTTTAAATCTAAACTTCTGCACCCCGTGTTTTTATCGTAATTACTTGCTTAGCCAAAGTATCCCAATCTAATGTAATCTGGTAAAATGAATTCTAATACTGTTTATTAATGTCCCCATTTGTTGCTTTGATGATCAACAACATTTTAACTCCCTTTTTTCTCTACTATATGTAATACTTCTGGCTTTTATGGTTTCTTTCCTTTATCTTTTTTCCTATCTAAATAAAACTGCAATTTGTCAGTAAGCGGTGACTCAGAGGGGAATTTATCGAAACGTGAGCAGACGTAATCTGGAGCAGTTGCCCATGGCAACCAATCAGCTTCTCTCTTTATCAAAATGTAAATAAACAAGAGAAGCTGTTTACCATGTGCAACTGCTCCAGTTTTTATCCCCCCCCCCCATTATGCTTTTATTGCTAATTGAACGCCTAATGTTTTTTTGATTTTTTTTTTTTTTTATTTTTATTTTTATTTTTTTTTCAGGACAAGAGATAAAAAGAGAGAAGATGGCAAATGGAGGGATTATGAAAGACATAGAGACAGATATGACTGGCGAAGAGGCAGAAGTAAAAGTCCATCCAAAATCAAGTCTTTAAATAAAAGTAGGAGCCGAAGCAGAGGGAGAAGCAGGGACCGGGAGTCTAACAGGAGTCGAGGTACTGAACCCTACTTCTCTGTCATAAACATACAGCTTTCACCTCAGGAGGCTTGTAAGCACAGATGCATGGTTTTTCATCTTCCCATTTGTTTTCTGCAGCAGGGCAACACAGAGCTGATTGAGCCCCCCAGCTTGCCTGTTTGCCTATGCTCCCTTGTGTAGTGCTTCAAATCTTCTAGGCAGAACAAGCCCCATCAATCTGCATCAGCATGCATTTGCCATATCTATTACTACAGATGCACACAAGTATTGTGGTTCCTTTTATGTAATATTTTGTATGATGTTCTATATAGAAATTGACAGGTTTCATTTACAAAGATATACTGTTCGAAATGATGGGATCAGTGTAACCACTTGACTGTAATTTTGATCGGGATTCTGATTTAGAACAATGAAAATGCTAGTTTCTCTGGGCACCGCCACCCATTCTCAAGGTTTAATGATCATGTTCTGAGTCACAAAATATCTCTGGAAATAGTTTTGTTATTCGAAGTCTGCGTAATAACTTTATCTCCAGAATATGCTTTCATTGAAT